TTCTAAATCTAAATCTTGAATCTTGAAATCTTCCCAGGTTTAGATACAGTATTAGAACCTTAAAGAGAGTTTTAGATTCACTGCGTTTATATTTATTTTACATGTAACAATTATTTAGGGTCCAGGAAGGTGTGTTACATGGGACAATTAAAGTTAGACAAGCAAATGTCTTAGATTTACAAATGCCCTTTACAATGGTTTTTTTTTAAGACATCTATTATTTATTTGAGAGAGCGAGAATGAGAGAGAGTACGTGGGGGGAGGGGCAGAGGGAGAAGCAGACTCCCCGCCGAGCAGGGAGCCCCATGCGGCACTCGATCCCGGGACTCCAGGATCATGACCTGAGCCGAAGGCAGTCTCTTAACCAACTGAGCCACCCAGGCCCCCGCACTTTACAATGTTTTAAACTGCTTTACTGAACTTCTGACCACCCCCAACCTGCTCCTCCCAGCGGCAGCCCCTGCTTCGCGCCGCCGCCCCACTTCTGTCCGGGGCTGGTGGGGGCGTGGTGGTGGAGAGCCAGGCCCCTCGCAGGCCTCCCGCCCACAGCCGCGGCCCTCCGCCTCGGACCCCGCCCCCGCCCCGCCCGCGGCCTTCCGCCTTGGACCCCGCCCACCGCCGCGCCCTCCGCCTCGGACCCCGCCCCCGCCCCCGACCCGCCCACCGCCGCGGCCTTCCGCCTCGGACCCCGCCCCCGACCCGCCCGCCCTCCGCCTCGGACCCCGCCCCCGGCGTGCGGACAGCGGGCTCGCGGAGTCAGGTTCCCGCGGGAGACCGAGGCGGAGGCGGGGCTCCGCGTAGGGGCGGGGCTAGAGCCCCGGGGCTGTGAGTTTTGACCCGGGAGGGTGGAGTGGGTGGCTGGGTGCACAGAGGGGAGATCGGTGAGCGCAGGGGCTCTAGCTGAGGGCTCTAGCTGAGGGTTCCAAGAGCGCTGAGGCGGCGGGAAGGGAGAAAGAGCGAGGGGGGTTGATGACTGGTCCTGAGAGAGGGGACCGGCCCTGAGGGGTGGAGGGTCCTGGGGCGCTGGTGGGGTACCGTCCCGAGGAGGAGGACGGGCCCGAGGGGGCACAGGTCCCGAGGGGGACGGGTCCTGGGAGGATAGCTCTAGGATGCTGAGCGCCAGCTCCTGGGGTGGGTTTGCGTCCTGGGGACCCTGGACCTGAGAGGGAGAGGGGAGTGAGCAGAGTTTTGGGGGGCAGCTGGGGTTCTTATGGAGGAGGGATGGGCGAGGGTTGGGGACGTCGGAGAAGGCCCTGAGAGGATGGACAGACTTTGAGGCAGGAAGGAAGCCCCTGGTTTGGGGGAAGCGCAGGGGCAGGGAGGTGGGGAGCAGGGGTGGTGAGAGGCCCTTCTGGAAAAAGGGAGTAGGCTGTCCCCGGCTCAGGAAGCTTCCCGCAGCCTGCAGCCCCCAAGGGAGGGCAGAGAGGGCAGCAGGCAGTGGGGGCTGGGGAACAGAATGGCCTTGGGTGGAGGAGGAGTGCAGGAAGGTACCAGGTAGAAAGAGCAGCAGAGCCCCCCACCCCCGGGGAGCCTGAGGCCTGGAAGTCCTGATCCCATCCTGGCTCTTCGTCCCACCTGCCATGTCCAGGGGGCCAGGCCTGAACCTCTTGGCACCTGTTTTTTCCCTGTGAGGTTCCTGCGGCCACAGCCATGATGTCATCAATGTCATCGCCTGCTGTTCCAATTACCCACAGCCAGCGAGCGAGCATCCCTGCCGCCCCTCCCCCAGCCCCAGGCAGGGCTGCTGGGGCAGGTTGGTGGCCACTGCCTTTAGGGTCCACAAGACGCTAGCCGCAGCATCGAGCTCCCTCCACAGACCCACAGAGGTACCGGGGTCGCCCTCAGTTCCTTCCCCCGGGCTCACTCTGTTTCAGACCGTTCTCCTCTTCAGCTCTCAGAGAATGTCATTTTTACCAGGAAGCCACGGTTCTGGAGCTTCCTCAGCCTCCTGCCCTCCTCCCCTCTGGGAAGTGTCCCTGTTCTCTTCTGCACCTTCCAGCGTCTTTCCGGGCTTCTTCCCGCCTCAAGGAAACAAACTCCGGTCTCTGCTGGCTTGAGCAGCTTGACTGCAGGTCCTGGTCTAGCTGCCGCCCGCCCGCGGCCACGCTTCGGAAGCGGGCACCGAGCCCCTATCCGTCCCCTCTGGCACGCGTCGCTCTTGCCCTCACGGCGTGGGCCTCTTGCGTCTGGTGGGGCTCAAGTCTAACCAGGCTCATTCCCCCAGGTTGTCAGAGGCCCCCCGCGTCTTTAGCGCTTCTCCTGCCTGCCCCCCTCCGCAGCCCGCACCCTGCTGATGCCCCGTCCCCTCGAAGCTGCGCCTCCGTGACCTTACACGTGGAGATTTTGTCTCTGTGCTCCCCTCCTGGCTGGCCTCACCCCTCCTGTGGCTTCAGCGATCAACTCTTGAACCTTCTCCCTCTGGCCCTGACCTCTCCCGGAGCGTCAGATTTGTGGTTGCTCCACGCAGGTGTCACGTGGGTTCCCAGCCAGGGTGGTCCCGGGCCGCTCATGAGCACCCACAAGCCCAGGCTGTGTTTCCTCCTGCAGCCCTTCTGGGGGGGGCGTTGGCCAGAGCTGGGCACCACAGGGTTTAGGAGGACACAGAGCACAAGGGATCCCAGAAAGAGGAACTGGAGGTTGAGTTCACAAGAGTAAATCAAGAACGGAAGCCTGATTCCACGAGGAAGGCAAGTCACAAGGAGTGGGCCGGGGAGCAGGCAGCACAAGGAAGTAGCCAGAGAAAGTTCCTGTGAGGCCACTGCAGGGATCCTCCTTGGCTGGGTAAGGGGACGGAGACTTCTGCGGTCTCAGGAGGTCACGGCACCCGTCACCCGGCCACCTCTGCTGGAACTCCCTCTTCCATCCCTCACATCCAGGCACTTCATTTTCTTAAATAACTCAAGTTGATTTCTCTGCACCCCGCATTCCCACCATGGGCTCCCTCCTGGACGACTGTGAGAGCCCCCGCGGGCTCCCTGTCTCGCCCTGGCCTCCTTCGAATCCCGTTCCCACTGCAGCAGCAGTGATCTTTCTGAAGCATGAAGCCGGTCACTCTGCCAGGAACCTCCCGGCACTGCTTGCGGCCCTTTAAGAGCAGGTCCCCTGTTGTCCTTGTTGATCTGACCTCTGCTGACCTCGTTACCACGCTGTTCACCTCTCACCGGCCCTGACACCCCCACACTCACAGGTACAACCACACGGACACTCATACACGGTACACTCACACACACGCGCTCACACACGCAGCCTGGGCTTGAACCACACCGACGTTTCACGTTCCTGCAGGCCCCTGGTCCTCCCCTTTGCGTGAGGTGCTGTTCATCCTGCAATGTCTTCCTGTCGCTACGGGGCTCACCTTCAGAAAGCCTTCCTAACCGTGTAAGCTGGATCCTCCAGGAGGTGGAAAACCTGACGTGGTCCAAGGATTCTTTAAAGAATCAAGCCTAAAAGAAGACTTACTTTTTTCTTAAACTTTGAGATTTCTTATATTTTGTTCCTCCCCCGGTCTTTATTTTTCTCAGCCTGTTGTCTCCGTCCTTATAGGAAAGCCTTTCAAAGGAGAGGGGCCTGTGTTCTTGTGGTCAGTATGGGGGGTGTGAGGGTGGGTTGGATGAACAGCCAGGTTGAGTACCAGGGAAACCGGTGGGTAGGGATCCGACGGAGGCAGCTTTCAAGAGTAAGGGGAAGGAGGCTTCGAGCCGGAAGTGGCACTGTACGGGCAGGAGCACAGACCCGACAGGGTTTAGCATCCTGGTGGAAAGGCCAGTTCTTAGTCAGAAACATTGTGGTTTAGACTGAGCTGAGTGCCGGGGAGTCGCCGGGCCTGCAAGACCCTGTGCGGGGACCTCCACTTCTGGTGGAGGACCGAAGCCGGTGGTGATGGGTGGTGGAGGGCAGGCCTGAGCCAACCTGGGAGCAGTGGGGACTGACGTGAGCCGGGGCCGGACGCCCTGGCCGAGGGTGCTCTTGGAACTCAGGCGGAGGGGGGTTATCAGTCCCGAATTCCATGCAGAGGTTTAGAAGGATGTGGCACTTAGGAAGCCACCCATGACCTTTCTAGAACCACTACCACTGAGTGTCGGGGTCCGCTGTCAAGCTGCAGAGGCCCAGTCGGCAGGGACAGCGAAAGAGCGGAGTCCTCCTTTCGGGGGGCAAGGATAGTTCCAGGCCTGCCTGGGGCAGGCAGGGGCCTGCGGGAGGGCGGGGTGCAGGGCCTGTGACAGGAGCGGGGGGCGCACGGCCTTCTCTGGCACAGGGAGGACGCCGTAGGGAGGGGAGGGTGTGCTGTGACAACCACAGCATTTGCTCACCTGCTCGCCACCCAGTGTGACCTTCGCCGACACAGTCAGCCACTGACTCCTGCTGCCTCGCCCTGGGACGTGGCCACCGGCAGGGTCTGCCTCCCTTATCTTCGGTGCCAGCCGGTTGCCGCCCCTGCTTCCCGTCCTTCCCGCACCCCCCTGTCCCTATCACCGCACGCAGCTGTGCAGCGTCCCTGGCCTGCTGGCCTCTGGGAGCCGTTCTGGCTCCGTCCCCAGGTATCGCTCGCGGCTTCCCTGCCTCTTCTGTGTCACCCTGGCCTGTAGATGTTCTGCGGCCCCAGGGCTCGGTCGCACACTAATGCCTCCCAGACCTCAGCTTCCATCCTGGCCTCTGACCCTGGCTCCTGGACTTGGGCTGTTGTTCGCCTCCTGGCCACCTCTAGGCACAGAGGAATGGGGGTGCTGAGGGGCAGGGAGGCCGAAGGGAGTGACGTATTGGGCCCAGTAGGGAGCACATTTGGATTCCAGAGCTAGGAAGTTCTCAGTCTTTGGGGCTGCTTGGACGTCCGGCTGAGGGGAGCAGAGGCGGGGCTCCGGCCATCGGGGCGGGCGGGACCTCCACCCCTGTGACCCCTGTGCCCCCCCCACCTGCTGGGGCCCCTGTCCCGGCAGGTGGCTACTGTCTGTGCCCTCTCTCCAGGGCTTCCTGAGACCCACCCTCCCTCCTCACTGTCTTACAGTTTCTCGGGTGTTGAGGAGGGCTGGCCGCTGCCTCGCCAGGCCCTGAGCTGAGCCCGCTGATGCCCAGGCCACCCGCTTGTGCCTGGATCGCCGACTTGAGCTCGTGATTCTCCCGAATGAGCCGTACCAGCTTCTTCAGCTCCTCATTCTCCCTCACCAGCCTCTCGATCTGATGCCGAAGCCCCTCATAATTGGTGAGCAGAGACATGCGCCGGGGCAGCAGGACGGGTGCCGCCCGAGGGAGGGCCCTGTGCCTGGAGACTGCCCAGGGCCCCGGGCCTTGCCCGGGTTGGAGGAGGGCACCAGAGTTTGCGAGGCGGGCCCAGTGGGCTCTGGGTATTGTGAGGTCAGAGGCTGGGCCCCCCTCCTTGGTCTCGCGGCTCTGCCTGCCTCCAGGCTGTGCCCAGGTCCTGCCCTGGCCTGGGATCACCGACGCTTCCTCTGTTGGGCCACATTCACTCCGCAGGCGCCTGCTCCGTCCGGCGTCGTGCTGCCCCAGCAAGCTCAGCTCTGCCCTCCAGGCTTCCATGAGGCCGTGTCTCTACTGTGGCGCTTACCGGCTCTGTGCCGGTAGCTGCTGGCTCCGTTTGGCTCACTTTACAGTGAGGCTGGGGGTTGGGCACTTCCCCAGCCGCCCGCCAAGGGCCCAGGGGCACAGCAGGTAGGTGCCCAGTGAGTAGCTGTTGAATGAAAGCTCATCGCGCGCCTGCCTGGCCAGGGGGCCCTTTCCTTGGGAGGTTGGGCACACCTGCACTTAGCCTGTCAGTCTCCTGGGGACATTCTACCTTCCACACATGGACACTGGCCCTACTTTTTTCCAAGCCTGGTGCTCAAAGCCTTTCTCTGACTGCCGGCCCAGGGGCTCCCTGGTCCAAGCACCTGGCTCTCTATAGCTTGGACTTTCCATTTCTGGTGACTCAGGCTCCCCTATTCCAAGTCCCCCATGGCAGCCCTCTGTGCCCACACCTCCGTTCTCTGACTCCTTGAATTTTCGTGCCCGTGGTCCTTCAAGAACCCAAGACATGCCCCTCGTCAGGTTGTCAGGTTCCGAGAATTCAGACCTATGAGTCCTCACCACGCTCTCTTTTTAAAAGCTATCTACACAGCGATCTTGGGGGGCCTGACCTTGGCAGTTAAGCGAGGCAGTGTCCCAGGGGTCTCCACTGGCTCTGTAGCCATCTGTTCTCAGACGGAGAGGACAGTGAAGCCCAGGTCTAAGCCTGAGGGCGCGCTCCTGGTAGGCAGGTGGGGGTGAGGATGGGCTTGGAGTCAGCCTGAGTTGAACATTCTACCTGGACCTCACAATGGGGGCTTGCCTCCACCCTCCCCCGACACCCTACGCTGTAATCCTGGCTGAGTCGCCCTGGCCCTGGAGGCCTGGCCGGACGTCTCTTCACCACCCTCTGCTGTTTGTAGGACATCCCATCCTCCGGCGTGGGAAAACGAGCCTCTCGCGGCCTTCCGGGTCACCTGTACCATCCGGCCTGGCTTCACTGTTGGCCTCTCCTGGGGTTGATGCATCTGGGCTGGTTAAATTGATGGCTCAACGTGGCTGGGTGCCCACGTGCTTGGTCAAACCCTGGTTCAGACATTGCTGTGAAAGTATTTTGTAGTGTGATTAACATCTACAGTCGTTGATTTTAAGTCAAGGAGGTCACCTTCGATCACGTGGGCAGACCTCATCTAATCAGTTGAAGGCCTTAAGAGCAGAAAGCTGGGGTTTTCCAGGAAAAGAGCATGTTGGCCTCAGTGCTGTTCTGGGGGCCCTGCCTCAGCGTCCAGGCCACTGGCCTGCAGATATGGACAATTGTATGAACCAGTTCCTTAAAATAAATATCTTCATACCTGAGAAATCTGACTGACGTGCCATCTATATTGGGTACCAGCGCTTCCGTCCTCCCAAAACTGTGTTCGGAGCCCCAGCTAGTGGCAGGTCCTGTGTTGGAATCACAATATCGTACACCTGAAACTAGCAGCACACTGTATGTTAACCACACTGGAATGAAAATAAAAAATTTAAAAAATAGAACAGGAGAAAAAGAAATCGGGGATTTAGCGCTGGTCATATTCAGGTGCTGTCCATGCTTTTTGGGCCTGGCCCGGAGTGGGGAGCAGCTGGGCATTGATCACCACGCGGTGCGGGTAGAAAGCCTGGCAGGCAGCTGGACGCAGTGGGCCCAGAGCGGCCTCCTTTGGGGAAATGGACGCTGGTGGAGGAGGGGTCGGGGTGGGAAGAGCCCTCTGGCCCCTCAGGGCAGGGTGCTCCACGGAAGGAGCTGCAGGTGGGGCTGGAGACGAGGGGCGGTATGTGCGGGGGGGCGGGGGGGGGCAGGTCCTGGCTGTGGCATCGGAGTTCGTTTTCATCCTGAGGGTCTTCCTCAGTCCTGGACGGGCTGTAAGGGAGGCAGCGTGGGGATGGCTCGGTGGGGAAAGAGCTGCAGAGCGGGCAGGAAGGGGGCCACTGTGGTCACCCAAGCAGCCGCGGGCAGTGCCGTGGAGGCAGGGAGACTGGGCAGAGCTGAGGGAAATTCACGGCCACTGGACGGAGGGATTTGGGGCGTGGGCAAAAGCAGGGACAGCCTCCAGGCTTCTGGTAAGCACGCTGCAGCTGCTGGTTACAACACCAGCTTGGTAGGGAGGAAGTGGAGCTTTGGGCAAAGGTCTTGTGTCAGGCTTGGGTGTGTGCTGCTGAGACGGGGAGCAGGCGCCCCGTCCCCTTCCCAGACTGCGGGCCCCACCACCCGGTCCCGGGTTCCGGCCCCCGGCCTCTGCCCTAAGCCTCTTCTTTGAGTACAGCTGCGGCAGCAGACTTGGTGAGCCTAGGTTCCTCTCCTGGCTCTGCGCTCACCTGCCCCGGCCTCCCCTGCCCCGGCCTCACCTGTTCCTGGCCTCACCTGCTCCTGGCCAGCTGCTCATTTCCTCTTCATTCCAATTTTTTTTTTTTTTTTAGATTTTATTTATCTGTTAGAGAGAGAGCACAAGCAGGGGGAGCAAAGCTCCCCAAGGAGCAGGGAGCCCAACATGGGGCTCGATCCCAGGACCCCAGGATCATGACCTGAGCTGAGGGCAGACGCTTCACCGATGGGGCCACCCAGCCTCCCTTGTTCCAATTTTCTTACCTTTTGGTTGTTCTGTCGAGTATGCGAGTGTCCTTTGGTGCCCAGATCTATTGGGCTTGGGTTTGGGGCCAGAGCAAGAGTTTGCAGAGAGCAAGAACTTCACCCAAAGCTTTACCCACGTGACCTCGGAGGACGCGTTTGGGGAGCGGGAGTTGGGGACTGAGAGATGACAGGCTGTCTCCCCCGCCCTCTCCCTGCTCTTCCGTCTGAGCAACGGGACAGCAGCCTCACCTCCTGACCCCACGCAGGGCTCGGTCTGCGTCCCTCACGGGCCCGCTGGGAACGCACTGCACACACACCTTCAGGGTCCCCGCTTGCTGAGTCAGGAGTCTCCACTTCTGGTTTCAGGTCACTGGCTTTGCATACTTTGTCCCCATTTGCATTTGCTCCCTGAGCTTCAGCTCAGCGCACCAGCCTGGCAAGCCCTCTAGGGATCTTTTTTGCTCCCTTCTTGGCTTGGGATTCTTTGTAAGTTTCCCCGTAAAAGCCATGTTTTCAAGGCAAAAAGTCTTTAAAGAACAGGGACCTTTAACCTGGAACCCGCTGCCCACAACCCTTCTGCCTCCGCCCACACAGACAGGCTGTTGTGGGCTGCCCCTCGGGCTGTGGGAGACAGACCCTGGGCGGGAGCCCCGCCGCCCCTGGCCAGCACCCGGCCCGGCCATCAGGCTGCACCATCATGTCCACACTGCCCGCTGTGGCCATTTACAACGTCGGGCCACATCCTGTTGCTGGCCAGGAGCCCCAGGAGGGATCTGCCCAGTCCGCCACTGCGGGCGCCTCCCTTCCCTCTGGCCTCCTTCACTTCAGACAACGAAATGGCCATGGCCGCTCTTCGTGGGTGCTCCCTGTGTGCCAAGCACTGTTGTAACAGTCCCTGGGATGGTTCGAGCCACCACCTCCTACCGCCCTCCGTGCCCAGCGCCGGGTTTCTCCCCGGGGCCCCTGGGTCTCCGTGGTCAGTCCAGTCTTCCTACCTTTCCAGCTCTCAGGCTTGGACCTCGGTGCGGGCAGCCTAGTGTCTGGCCTGCTCTTCCTGCCTCCAGCCTCACCCCTTCTGGTGCAGCCTCTACCACGGCGGCCCCCCCCCCCCCACGGGATCTGGGCTCCGCTCAGAGAGGATGAGGGCCACAGCGTACTCTGCTCTGCATCCAGCATCCAGCACGGGCCCTGGCTCATCATAGGTGCTCAGTAAATAAATGAATGCATTTTTATTCAACCTTTTTAAAAACATTTTTTTCTAGAAGAATTCTCACAGCGAAGCTGCAGAAGATATGATGCCTAGCAGTAGAAACAGCCAGGTGCTGACTGGCCTGCTGAGTGTCTGAGGATGTGCCCCTGGGCTTGTACGGGGCCACTGTCCCCTCCTGATGGAGTCCCCTTAGGACTGCGGATGGCCCTGGGACAGAGCAGACACATCTGCTGGTGGCCCAGGGCCCTGCCAGCCGGAGCCGGGAGCAGGGGCCACAGGGAAAATGTCTCCAGGTCTTGGCTAGAGGCAGAGTCTTCTGGGATTGTGACTTGGTCACCAACCGCAGGGGTCCCTTAGTCTCCTCATGGAGGGCTGAGGGGAGACCAAGAGGCCTCTGTCGGTCTGGAGCTTGTCAGTTACAAACATTATTTGGAAGGTGGCCAGGAGGGGAGAGCGGGGCCGGCCTGCAGGCTAGGAACTCAGAGGCCCAAAGCGGGGGGCGCTGGAGGCGTGTGGTGGGGTTCCAGACCCCAGACTCCAGGGCTCAACCGCAGAGCCCCGAGCCCTGACCCTCGGTTGATTCCTCCTTCTTCAGACCTTGGCTCTGAGCCACGCGTCAGGGGCCTCCCCTCGGCAGCATCGAGGGGTCACAGGCCCGCTTCTGGCTTTATACGCTTCTGTGCATCTAGTCCTTTGTCTGCTCAGTGGGGTGACGGGGCCCCTTTGCCCTCCTGCCGTCTGAGGCCTAGGTGAGCAGCCTGTGTAGGTACGCCCGAGTCCAGTGCAAGCACTTTCCATCCTTGCGGAGCCCGCGCGTGCACCCCACCTGCTCCCTCAGGCCCCAGGAAGAGTCCAACCTCTGCCGGCCCCTCAACAGCGCCCCCCCCCCAGGGGGCT